GGGTACCAGCATCATAAAGAAAGATACAGGAGGAATTTTACAAGGAAGACCAACTGCGAGAAGACAGATGTCTTCATTTTAGAACAGCACATCAAGGTAGCAACAAAAGAAAAGACCCTTTCAATCACTATTTCTGAAATGTCTTGTTCTGTTACAGGACTGCTTAAGGGAAAAGAATCCATACAGTAAAATTGTGTCTTAAGGTGAACAAAATCACAACCTGGCATATCAGTTAAAACATCAGGTATACTCTCCAGAATATTTTTCCCCCATCCAAAATGGAAACATTGCATTAAGCCATAGTGCCATTTGTTTATTTTTGTATGTATGTATGGCTTCAAGCTTAGCATGTACAAGTCTAATCAGCTGTGATTTTGCCAGTGAATTCTATGCAAATATGAACCCATACAATGCATGAACCCAAATGTGAGCCTATGGACCCTCAGCATGGTTGCCATCAAATGTATCTAGATACATATAGGGGCTTAACAGAATAGAATGGACCTTGGAAGTCTTCTAGTTCAACCCATGCTCAGACAAAAAACCCTAAACCATTTCAGACAAATGGCTATTCAGTCTCTTTTTAAAACCCTCCACTGTGGAGCACTCACAACTAGTTGTTCCACTGATTAATTGTTCTGTCAGGAAATTTCTCCTTAGTTCTAGGTTGCTTTTCTCCTTGATTATTCAGCTTAATTGCTGAATTGGAATACAAGACTGGTGGAACATTAAACTAAATCTTAATACACTTCTTGGTAGCAGCCAGTTCCTCCCCCCCCCTTTAACGCATTAATGAGATTTGTGTTCTTTTGGCTTAGGTTGCTGTTGAATCCAATCATTTTGAGCTCATAAGCCGTGGTTTAGGACTTAGCCTGCTATGTGAATCCAGCCAATTTGTAATGAATAACAAATTGGGTGGATTTATCAACGCTTGGAAACCCAGAGAATTATTTTCATAGAGTAGAGTAGAGTAGAGTAGAGTAGAGTAGAGTAGAGTAGAGTAGAGTAGAATAGAATAGAATAGAATAGAATAGAATAGAATAGAATAGAATAGAATAGAATAGAATAGAATAGAATAGGTTGGAAGGAACCTTGGAGGTCTACTAATCTGACTCCCTACTCAGGCAGGAAACCCTACACCAGTGATGGGGAACCTATGGCACGCGTGCCAGAGATGGCACTCAGAGCCCTCTCTGTGGGCACACATGCCGTCCCCAGCTGCTCTTCTGGTTTTCGGCACAGACATGCACATGGCCAGCTGGTCTTCGCAGGTGTTGGAGCACGGCCTGAAAAATGCCCCAAAAGCAGGCCGTTTTCAGGCCATTTTCAGCTGTTTTCAGGCTGTTTTTGGCTTGAAAAATGGCCTGAGAACGGCCTGAAATCAGCCCAAAAACGGCCTGAAAACAGCCCGAAAAATGGCCAAAAATGGCCAAAAAACAGGCATGTGTTTGCCGGCCAGCTGGTCTTTGGGTTTCAGGTGCTCCAGTGCGCACAAAGACCAGCTGGTCGGCACACATGCATGCGCCGGAAATCCGAAGACCAGCTGGCCAGTGTGCATGCACGTGCCAGCCAGCTGGTCTTTGGATTTCCGGTATTGCGGTGCGTGCACAGGCACACGTGTTCCGGTTTGGGCACTCAGTGCCGAAAAGGTTCGCCATCACTGCCCTACACCATTTCAGACAAATGGTTGTCTACTCTCTTGTTAAAAACTTCCAGTGTTGGAGCATTCACAACTTCGGGAGGCAAGTTGTTCCACCGATTAATTGTTCTGTCAGGAAATTTCTCCCGAGTTATAGGTTGCTTCTCTCCTTGATTAATTTCCATCCATTGCTTCTTGTCCTGCTCTCAGGTTCTTTGACTCCCTCTTCTTTGTGGCAACCCCTTAAAATAGATTTTAAGAGAATAATAATAATAATAATAATAATAATAATAATAATAATAATAACAACAACAACAACCTAAGGCAAGGTCAGCTAAAGAACAAGCAGGTCAAAAGCAGCCTGGAAGCAAGATACGATCTAAGGAATAAGGAGATTGCAATAGTAATTGAAGAGCTGAAGCAGAGGGTTGTTGCCATCGCTGAAAAGATTAAAAGGTATGAAAACCGAGTAACTCAGTTCAAGGAAAACTCACAGTTCAGAGCAAATCAGCACCAGTTTTATAAGAATTTAAGAAAATGGAAATGGAGTAACAACAAATGAAAAGCCTGATAAAGAGAAAGCTCTGAAATTCTGGAAGAATTTGTGGGAAAACAACAAGAAGCACAACAGAAATGCAAAATGGATCAAACAGGTTGAGGACTCTATTAAAATGCATAAAATGGAAGACGTGAAAATAACAAAAACAATGGTGCAAAGACAGTCAAGAAAAGTGAAGAACTGGAGTGCACCTGGACCGGATGAGCTGCATGGCTTCTGGTTAAAGGCACTTACAAGTCTGCACAAAAGATTGGCAACCCAGATGAACCAGATCCTAAAAACACCTGAAAATGATGGATGGATGACAACTGGAAGGACATTTTTGATCCAAAAAGATAAAGAAAAAGGAAAGGACCCTGGAAACTATAGGCCAATCACCTGCTTGCCAACAACATACAAGCTTCTTACTGGTATCATTGCAAACCAAATCTATGGATACCTGGAAAGAAATAACTTGCTTCCTGTAGAACAGAAAGGATGCTGCAAAAACTCAAGAGGAACAAAAGATCAATTGCTGATCGACAAGATAATCCTAAAGAACTCAAAGAAAAGACGAACCAACCTGTTCATGGCTTGGATAGACTACAAGAAAGCATTTGATTCAGTTCCCCATAGCTGGATCAAGAAATGCCTGGAAATATTAGGCATCAGCAGCAACATACAAAAATTCATGGAATCTTCAATGAACCTCTGGAAAACAAAACTTATGGCTAATGAAGAAGAACTGGGTGAAGTTGAAATTAAACGAGGCATTTTCCAGGGCGATTCCCTTTCACCCCTACTTTTTATACTCTCAATGCTACCACTGACAATCATTTTGACGAAGATGAACTGTGGATACGAACTTGCAAAGAAAGGACTGAAAATCTCACACTTGATGTACATGGATGATTTGAAGCTGTTTGGTAAAACAAAAGCTGAACTGAATTTATTAATTGAAAACACAAAAGAATTCAGCCAAGACATTGGTATGCAGTTTGGAATTGACAAATGTGCAACAATAGCAACCAAAGCAGGCAAGATCATAGAAGAGGATGGAATAGAACTAGAGAATGAAGAAATGATAAAGGCAGTAAAATCAGAAGAAGGCTACAAGTACTTGGGAATTTTAGAAGCCTCTGACTTAATGCATAATAAAGTCAAGGAATTAACTTCAGCCAAGTACATTCGACGAATTCGTAAGATATTAATGTCCAAATTGAGTGGAGGAAACATCATAAAAGCCATAAATACCTGGGCTATACCTGTGATTAGATACTCTGCAGGAATAATTGACTGGACCCAGATGGAGTTAGACAATTTGGACAGAAAAACAAGGAAGCTTATGACAATGAATCATGCCTTGCACCCTAAAAGTGATGTTGACCGATTATATTTACCAAGAGCAGAGGGTGGTCGAGGACTCCTACAAGTAAAGCAGACTGTGGAAGAAGAAAAATGCAGCTTGAATGATTACATCCAGAAAAGTGAAGAACCAATGATTAAAGAAGTAAATAAAGGAGGCCTTTTAAAGACAACTAAAACAAAAGCAGAATATAAGAAAGAAGTAATTGAGCAGCGAGCTGAAAATTGGAAACACAAAGCTCTGCATGGCCAATACTTGAAAAGTATTGAAGGCAAAGCTGACCAGAAACTAACTTGGAACTGGTTAAGATCAGGAGTACTGAAAAAAGAAACTGAAAGCTTTATTTTGGCAGCTCAAGAACAAGCCCTAGCCACAAACTGTATGAAGGCAAAAATTCAACATGTTACCACCAACAGCAAATGCCGCCTCTGCAATGAAAAAGAAGAGACAGTTGACCACCTGATCAGTGGGTGCAGCAAAATTTCACAAACTGACTACCTACAACGCCATGACCGTGTTGCTAAAATCATTCACTGGAAATTGTGCCAGAAGTTTGGATTTGAGTACAGCAAAAACCACTGGGAACATCAGGTTGAGAAAGTTTTAGAGAATGAGAAACTCAAGATCTTGTGGGACTTTAGGATTCAGACTGACAGGCACTTGGTCCACAACACACCTGACATAACAATAGTTGAAAAGAAAAAAGTATGGTTCATTGACATTGCAATACCTGGTGATGCACGGATTGAAGATAAGCAGCAAGAAAAAATCACAAAGTACCGGGACTTACAAATTGAAGTTGAGCGACTGTGGAAAAAGAAATTGTGTGTTGTCCCGATTGTAATTGGAGCCCTCGGAGCAATACCCAAAGGGCTACCCCGCTATTTAGAAATTCTAAATTTGCCGGACTTGAACATTTTGACTCTACAAAAAACCACCTTACTCGGAACAGCTTACATCCTCCGACGATACCTTAACAGTTCCTAGGTCCTTGGTTAGGACTCGAGCTGCTGAGCTATTAACCAGCCTCAAAGGCTGTGAATCTCACTAAAGATTAACCAATTAATAATAATAATAATAATAATAATAATAATAATAATAATAATAATAACAACCACCACCACCACCACCACCACCACCACCACCAAGAAGGCCCGGATCATACTGCACAGCAGACAGGCTGAGGTAGCGATGGGAAGCAGGCGGGAGGAGGAGAAAGGAGCAGGCAGGATATGAATTTTTAGAGGATAAATCAAAAGAGGTCGGGAGCGATTTGTCCTTCCAGAGCGGCTGCGCTCTGGCCAAATCGACCCATCTCGCCTCGCCATTTCTTTCCCCAGAGGGATTGGGGAGGGAAGCGGGGGGAGGGGGGGGCTCGAGTGCTGCTGCCTCCACCCCTTTATTGCCACGGGAAGGCTTCGCTTACGTCCAGGCTCGGGACCGGAGAGTGAGGGTGGGGGGAAGAAGGGGGCGCGGATTCGCTCGGGAGAGAGAGAGAGAGAGAGAGGGAGCCGCCGAGCGCTTATTCGCTGCCAGCATGTCTTCCAGCTCCAGCGTCAACACCCTGCAGCGCCTGGTGGAGCAGCTGAAACTCGAGGCCGGCGTGGAACGCATCAGGGTGAGCCGCCTTTCCCCAAAGGGGAAAAAAAAAGGCGCCGCTCTCCGCTTGCGGGCGAGGCGAGGAGGGACCGGGGCCGCTTCTCTTTCCCCCCCCACCCCACCTCCGCCCCGAGCGGAGCTGGCGGCATCATAAAAGCCTGCCTTTGTCTTCTTTGCAGACTCGGAAGGCGGGACGGTGGAGCTTGAGCGATCAAGCGCCGGGAAGGGAGAGAGGGCCGCTCTCGGCTCTTTGGGTTTTTTTTTTTGGATCGGATCACAAATTGGGATCTGGGCTTTGCTTTGTCTCCGGATCATCTTGATCCGTTAGCGTTGGAAGTATGGATGGGCGCTGCTGGGAAGACAATAGGCCATTGTCGGTTGACGATCTAGTGGGCTTGCGAAGGGCAGGGCCGGGTTGGTTTCCCCCTCCCCTCCTCCTCTTTTTTTCTTCTTCTTTTTTTGGACGACACCATTGCGGCTTGATTTAGTTGCCTCGGCTTTCTTTTCGCCCCGACTTAGCTGGAATGGTGGCGGGTGGCTTAAGGTTTCTCTTTCCCTGCAATTTTGTGGTGCTTTCCAACGGGAGGATTTGGATTCTTGTCTGATCGGGTGGGTTGTAAAAGCCCGGGTATTGATTTTTAAGGCGTCTTTTTTTTTCCCCCACGAAGAGGGGTGTGACTTCTGGTATAAAACGCAACGGATCGGCCATCGTTGGCGTAGCCTGTAGTATCTTGATAGTATCCCGTACTATCGAGCGTTTCGAGTACAATGGAGTTGTTTAAAAAAAAAGGGGGGGGTTGATAAATGAACCGGGCTTGATCATACGCCTTTTGTGGCTGTAGATAACACTTGTGACTGTGTTTATAAGAGAGAAAGTCCCCGATAGCTGCGGGTGGAGAGGATACAATAAAAAAAGAGACTTCTGCCAAAAATTCTATATTTTTCAAAGGACTTTTGTCAATTCTCCGACCTTAGCTAACCTCATTCTTTGAGCCGTTTTGAATGGATAAAATTTTATTTTCTGTCAAAGCAGAGTTTTAACACTCATATTCTCCTGGTTGATTGTTAGAATCTGCTTCTGAAATATACCTTAGTTCCCAAGAATAACTAATAGTAAAGAGCTTTCTCTTAATATGTGATCATGGGCATGTTTATGTAAACCAATATTTAATTTCAAAAATGTAAGAGATCTCTTGTAATTCTGCAGTACAGAGAAATTGTGAACAAAATCAGCTTCCAGACTTTGCACAGCTCTTCGGTATGAAAAACTAGTAAAACTAAAAGAAATAATGTCACTTTTGATAAATGGATAGAAGCAGAGAATTTGAGTTGAAGGAGGTCATGTTTAAATTATACATGTATAGATTATACAGTTCAATACTCTACAAAACCCCCTCACCACCACCACAATTATACCCATTTTCTACTTGAACACATCCAGGGAAGAGGACTAATTGTCAAACTGCTCTTAGGAAGTTTGTCACATGGGTGACAGTTCATTTAAAAGAATAGGATATTAAGTAAATTTGCTCCCATTGATGGAAGCATCTTTGCCCATTTTTTGGCTTGGAATTCTGCCAATAAGACAAAGGGTAGCAGAGGCTCCTACAAGCTATGCTATTATCTGCCTCACCCTTCCCTGGTGTTTTTTTGCTGGTTGGCTCCTCTGGGCATCATCTATAAACAAAATGTAATTGAAACATGGTTAGCATCCCAGGCCAGTGATTAGGTACAATTAGATAATTAGAGGCTACTATTTGCTAGGTATATATAAAACTAATTTGAGTAGCTGTTTTTTGTAAAGAGAAAGTTCTCTATCCCAGCAGTACATAAATGACTTGTTTGTTCAGCCTTTCAGATTACATTTTTTGGATGTCCTCCAGCGTCCCAGAATTCCCATGTTAGTTCAGCATTCTGACACAGTCAGTTTAGAGAAAGATGTAAACCTTGAATGACTCTTCAGCTAAGAATGCATTTTACTGTTTTCAGTGGGGTTCATGCTCCGCTTGTTAGAATTTGTATGGTTATAGCTTTATTTGGTTTCGGCTCCCATGAATATGTTCAAAGGGTTTCTCTTGTATTATGTTTTGTCGCAAGGCAGCCTGCTTTAAATATTAGAAATTTCCCCACACTTCCTTTTCTCCCCTTCAATAATTCCTTCACTGGAGCCCTACAAGTTTGCTTCCAGATGATGATAACTGTCTAAACGATAGGGATATAATTTAGCTGTAATGGGGGGTGGGACAAAGAAGAAACAGATTAAATGTATTAAGCATTCAATAACTTTGATGTACATTTTGTTTTAGAAAATGCCCATGTTTCTAAAATAAAAATGAGAAGGACATTCTACTAAGTAATCTGTCAGTACTATGATCCATGTACACCTTGACCACAGAGGGAAAAACTCAACTTAAATGAATGCATCTCCAAGCTGCAGAAAGCCTGGTAGGTCCTGTTTCAATTAGTGAATGACCTGGAGGTTTAATACAGGTTTAATACATTTCCATCAGGGGTTTTGGAGGGAAAATATAAACAGATTCCATTTGAATCCAAACTCAGCCCATATCAGGGTGAAAAGAAGCTATAAACACCATCAAACATCTCTTACTGTACTATCCATTTTATGCCAATGATCAGCTGTTAATTCCACATCGGATTAAATATCCTGTTATTGCTCTCTGATTCAAATGTCTTTATCTATTTTAAGTGTAGTCAAATTCTGGCACATAATATGTAACGTGCATAGCAGTCTAACTGATAAATCTGCTCACCTAATTACGTAGCTAATCCATATCATTTTTATGTATCTGAGTGTTTTATGGATGTCACTGATTGCAATGAAGACTCTGTTTCTGAGATGGGCAGAGATTTACCTACACTCCTTCTACTTCTCAAGGGTGGAATGGGACAACTCGCCACAGCCAACTCGCCTTGGCCAATTCATGTGGCCAACTCACTACCGACAACTCGCTGCAGAACAACTCACCAAAGCCCAATCACTGCGGGACAAATGAACAATTGAATTGAATTTATTTAAATTAAATGAAAAAATATTTTAAATTTTTGTCACTCATTTCATTTTGCCCCTCCTTTTGCATATTTTCTTTAATGATTCTATTCCACCAGTTCTTTGATATTAGTATAACTCATGTCCCACAGTGAGTTGTCCCATGGCGAGTTGGCCATGGCTAGTTGTCCCATGGTGAGTTGGCTGTGGCAAGTTGGCCATGGTGAATTGGCTGTGACCTAGACCCCTGAAGGGCATTTGCTTATTGAAACTGAGGTAAGGATGACAGTAATACCTGAGGATTTTGTTCATCCCACTGGGATTGGAACACCCCACCTGTTTCTCTGGGTTTCAGGAGAAGAGCCTTCTCTGTTGTCCATCCTCTCCTGCCCTTTGGAACCACTCCCCCTCCCTCATGAGATTGGCTTCCACCTTCCTTCCAATCCAAGGAGGATGAACATAAATCCCAAGTTAGTTTATCAACATCACCCCATCTTTTTGGGATTTGACTTAAGTTCATTCTCTCTCATCCAGCCCTTTAAGTGAATTGAAACAGAGTATAAAGGTACCATTTGCTTTCCTGGTCTTTGCTGAAGATAGACTTAGTTATCATTAGCATGCCTGTGTTACTCTTCTCCAAGCTGTTGGACAATCTTTTAAAGTGATTTTATACAGATTTTGATCAACGTGCTGGGCAAAATGGAGTCCTGTGGGACAACATAGGTCAGCAGCATTAGTACTGAATATCCCTTCGTGTATCGATTTTGACTCTATCCCTCCCCCAATGTCACTGTTTGCACTCTATGCCCTCCCATCCGTTAGAGGAGAGAAAAATGAAATTAATTGCAGCATAAAGCCAGAGGAAAAAAGGAACAAAGCCATAACCGCACAGACTTAACAACAAAGGCAGAGCTTTTTATGCCATCACCTTAGGGTAGGGTAGGGTAGCAAATTCCAGCTACAGAAGCTTCAGGTTGCATTAAGCTGGACCAAAGGTAAGGAGCTTGAAGAGCTGGCACTGCCAGTTGACTTGGAGCTCCAACGGGGAAGCATCACACTGGAGGTGGTTTATAGTTTAATAATGGATCCCACCTCTCCCCCTGCTCATCCTCCCTCTGCCCTCCCCGTCTTTCACAAATAGCTGATAATTTGTATTTTTATAGTTTTTGTATTGTTTTATTCTTTTTTAACATGATAAGTTGCCCAGAGTCACCTCATGCTGTGATGGGTGGCAAACATTTAATAAATAAATAAATGGAGACACAATGGAGCATTTCTATTCTTCGAAACGTATTTATTCTACCCTGTGAGGTAAGTTTCACCTAGCACGTATCAAAAGAATCCTTCATCTTTGATGGATACAAAGGGTCTTTCTCATTGTTTTGCATGTTGAGAATAATTATTGATACATGCCACTATTTAAAGATTTGTGCTGGGCTGTCCATACTCTCTCCAGTTCAGATTTATTCTTTTGTACATGTACTGGAATTTTTTTTAAAAAAAACTCAAAAACAAATTTAAAAGAAGACTTATCTTCTCTGTGTTTACCTCTTCTGCATCTCACGAAAACCAGAGAAGTAAAACTGAAAATCAGAGCTTGGCTCGAGTTTCAGCAGTCTCTCACATTGACCCTGGCCTGTTTCCCTGCTGTGCTTCTACTCCCACTGCGACCCAATTTAAATTTAAACAGTGTTGCAGATTTTAAGTCTAGGAGCATTTGTAGTTCTGTAAGTATGTGCTAGAAAAATATTAACTGGTGGTTATGAGCTGGGATACAAAATACCTCTCCCTCCCTCTCTCCCTCCCTCCCCCACACACTTTCTAACCTTAACCCTCTCTCTTGCTTAGAAATTCTGGTTCTACTTTTATCTTTCTGCAAAAAAAATAATAATTACATCACAGTTTTTGAACCTCAACAACATTACACGTATGGACTTGAACTCCCCAAATTCTCTAGCCAGTTGGAAGTCCACACAGCTTAAAGTTGCTGTGATTGAGAAACAGGGCTCTAT